ATTGTAGGCAACCACAGATGATTCAAACCAAATTGCTTAAAGCAGATTTCCACGGAGCCCTTGTGACAGGTATTCTTGCTCCTTTCCCATGCCTTTTTTTTAAATTGAAACTTGCGCTACCCAAAAAATTTAAGTCACATTTCCCTCCCCTGAACTCCACTTTATGGAGTGTTTGAATTCACTTGCACCCCATGTGAAGAAGTCCTTCTGTCTGGCCTGTATTTCAGCTTCATTGACGATCATGGGTTCTGTCACTGAGAGGGGTGAAAAATTCTTACCGTTCGGTTTTTTTTCACACCAGGTACAATATTGCATATCCACAGGTATCCTAGAAACTAAGTTTTACAAGAGTGAGAGCAAAGGTTGATGGGGCTTTGGTTGGTTTTCTGGTATCTCAAAGGGCGCGCCACGCTGAAGAAACCTGTTCTCCATTATTCCTACAAAGAAAAGTCTTAAGTGACAGGAAGAGAGATTCCAGTTGAAATAAAATAAAATAAAAGTCTTAAGGGCCAGGAAAATCTTCCTAACCGTGAGAGCAATTTGACCATAGAGCCCATTACCAGAAGAGGTGGTAGCTTCCCCTTCATTGGATAGTGGCTGAGTAGCCATGGGTCTGAGGTACTTTATTTATTTATTTTAAAGGATTTCTATGGCCACCCATCTTGTGAGGCACAACACTGGAAGACTGGCAGCAATAATAAAAACATCAATAAAACCATTCAAAAAACAAGAAAAACCCAGTGTCCAATCCAACAACATCACTCCAACTATGCAGTCCCCTGGGCTCCAATCTTGTTATCCCGGTGCCTGGGGGAAAAGCCAGTTCTTAATGGCTTTCCAGAAAGCTAGGGGGGTGGGGGTCTGCCGGATTTCGAGGGGAGGGTGTTCCCCAGAACAGGGACCACTACGGTACCCTTCCTAGGTCCTGCAAGATGGCAACATTTGAAGGAAGGGGCCTGAAGGGTGCCCACAATATCCGATCTAAAGGGACAGACAGATACCCTCAGGGAAAGGTGGTCCCACAGACTTTAATAGATATTACTTTAATACAGGTCCCTGGGCTGAAGCAGGATTTGGATTCAGCTCCGTAGAGGGCTCCTTTTCAAGGCTACAGTTCTGGTTTCCGTTTTTTTCCCCCCATGCATATATGCACAGCCTTACAGTGGGACTCTCAAGGACAGCAGTTTGTTTATATTTCAAATTTAGTCACCGCCCATCATCCTCAATGAATTGCAGTGGGGAACCCTTTAAACTGATTGTCCAGCTTGAATTTTAGGACCTTTTTTTTTTCCAGTGACGAAATCCAAATGTCCTTCCTATGTTGGTATCACGGGCATCATCCTACAGGAAATGAAACACGTTTTCAAAATTATCACAAAAGAAGACAAGCTGAAAGGTAGGCAGACCGTGTTACTGACCTGATCAGTGCAGGATTCCTTTCAACTGAGGAGCTGCTCCCTTAAAATGTTTGTAAAATATGAGATTGGTATTTTAAGAACTTAAACCAAAGCCCAAGAGCACCTGGACTAGAGAGTCGTGTGAACCCAGAGTGAATGGTATACTCTCAAACTTTGAGAGCTTCTCCAGAAGTTGTAGCTGAATTTGTAATGCAGCCATGATAAAACTTCAGCAAAATTGAATTACATCTTTTATGATTACACATCCCCACCGAAGCTGTTTCCCTCTGAGCTCAGCTTGAGAGTGTTACTGAACATTCCTTGCCCTCCTACCGTTCTTTGTGCTCCTCCTCTTTCTCTAGATGTCACCATGGGCTTATGGGCCAAGCTATGGGCTTATTGCTCTTGTTCCTGGCTGCAACAGTTTAAGGAGTTTTAATAACGTCAGCTGAATTCTGTCAATTCCAAGATGCTTGTTAGAAACCAAATCCTACACTTCATGGCATTTTGGTTCAGTAGCCTTTGATTCAGTATGTTTAATAAATATACATTCCCAATCTGATGCTGGGCAGAACTATTTCATTAGTATTTGCAACTAAGTCCCTTAATATATCTCTTGTAAACTAAGCTTATATGCAACTTTTCCTTGCTATATCCCTTCTCCATTTTCTTTCCCCTCCTTCGTTTATATCTACTTGATTGTAACTCTTGGAGTTAGGGGCTTCTCTGTTCATTCCCTGTGAAGTCTGTGCACTGTGTTAAATCGTTAAATCAAAAGGCTTTTTTTTTTTTTTTGGCTTCTTTCAGTTATTCCAAAGCGGAACAGCATCTTCAGCATAGAAATCGATGGCTTTGTCTCCTATATCTATGGTAGCAGGATCCAGTTTCGAGCAAGTGAGCGTTCTGCAAAAAAGTTCAAGGGACAAGGGACAATGGATCTGTGATTTTTTTTCTGTAAATTTGGAAACTAGCCTTTTGTTTCCAAGGGTCAGAGAGTCCACAGCGATCTTTTCTTCTAAGAAAATGAACACAAGAAGCAGCAGCCTGGTTTAGTACCCTTGGATCTTCAGGACTAATTTTGTACCTAATCCAAGATAGGTTCTTGTTTATATTGATTTTGGCAGGAGACCTGTACAAGGGCTGGCCTTCTGAACATTTTAAGATTGAATCAGTTCTAATTCTGTATTTGTGCCACGTTGGATTTTATATTTTGTTATTTAAAAGGTTCTTCTTTGTAATATAGAATGAAAATCTTTGAAAATTAAAAAAAAATGTGTCCAAAACAACAATGTGCTCAGAACTGGCTCTCTCTGATCTACAGTAAGCGTTTTACGGTTGGGGCATGCTAATAACCCAACTGTAAATGCAGGGGTGGGGAGTTGGAAGAGGGAATATAAAGCAAAGAGAAGGAGAGTCTTTCCTTCTTCCTCACAGTCATATCATCTTTGTCCTCCTCCTCTTCTTCCTCTTCCTCCTCCTGCAGAAATATGTAACAAAATTGAACTCCTCGATGTCACATTCACAGAACATGTGAAAGAGGGGTTATTGAGTAAATCAGTTGAGCCCATCCTACTTGCTTTGCTAACGGTTCAGTCTATTATGCAAGTCCAGTAACAAAATTAAGTCTGTCAGTAGTAGGGTTAGTAGAGATCCAGATTCAGATGGCAAGATAGAATTCAAAAATGCCTCAGGTACACATAGCACTGGTTGAGAAACCTGTAAAGCAGCCACTCATTTTCCAGCAATTGTGTAATTGCCCTTTTCAGCTGCCAAGTAAACTTGGGAAAAGTTTGGGTTCAATTTAAGGTGTTCCCACCAAGTGTTTTGGCATGCCCAACTCACATTTTACCCTTTGAATCTGGATCTTGGCCCAGCCCTATTCAGGTGCTTCTCTTCCCTGGCAAGATCCAGACTGGAGTCTCTTTGATGCACAGAACACTAGATTTGTCAGTGTGATTCTGAAGCATTGGTAGCTCAGAAGACACATGGGCTACAGAGAAGAGCCATCCCAGCTGTCAAGACCATCAACATAAAGCTTCATAGCTGTGGAACGTGTGGGTGGCAGAAGAGCTCACTGCAATTGTGGACTCCAGTTCCCACAAGAACAACATCTAACATTCAAAAAAGGAGCTTGCGCGTATGGCAGAAAGGAGGCCTGCCAAGTCTGAAGCATCTTTTGGCCAGCCGTGTTTGGAAGACCATGGTCACCTAAAAGACAGGCAGAGGACTAAAAGTGTCAGCATAAACTGAGCAGTGCATTAGGTGCATTGATAAAGGATCTGTCAATCTCTCCCAAGGGCATTTCCCTTCATGGAATTTTAGTCCCCCAATCACAGAGGCCAAACAGAAGGAAAAATTCTAAAAATATTTGTGAGGCAGGACAATGCAGTCCAGCTTTCCACCATATGACCTAACTGTTTAATTGAATTGGCATTCCCTTTCTTCACACAATTTTATAGGATTTCATAGCAGTCCCCATTACAGCTAGACTGAAATAGATCAGACAGACAGACATGTAACAAGTGGACCTATTTTAATAGCAAGATTCAAGAGTACATAGTTGCTATCTCAACTAGTATCCAACACTGGACAAATTATTTTGATTGATCTGAGTTTTTGGAGGATGTCTTGGACAGAAAAAAATATTGTTTCTGTTCCCCATACTTCCAATATCTGAAGGGAAAAAGCCTCTTTCATAGTTTGATGGTGAGCTAGCTGTTTACTGCTGAACATATTGAGGGCTACTCCAAAGGGAAAAAAAAGATTATGTAAATTAGACTGTTTTCTAAGGTTAGAACATCTCTTGCATATAGCAGGAAGCATTCTGTTGAACCATGTAAAATTCTGTGTCTGTCATCAAATTGGTATGAAAAAAAAATAACTCTTCAGAGGCCTTTATGAAGCAACACTGGATTCCAAGCTTTGTAATGCAAAGCTCCTTCCATTGTTTTTTCCTTATGTCAAGGAAAGAAAGGGCGTGTCTCTCTTACTGAGCATAATTCTCAAGAGGACATGTGTGTTTCAAAGATTAACTATACCAACATTAAAAAAACAGGATGCACAATGACATTGAAATGAAAGAGAATGCCAGGGCGTTCATCAGGGTAGGATTATAAATAAAGACATGCCTGAACACATAATTTCTTCGCAATAAGAATGCTCCATGCATAAAATGCTCCTTTTCAAAGCCTCACTCCTTAAAATAGGTTTGGAGCCCTTGTGGCCTAAAGGGAGATGAAGATGAACTTGATCCACCATTCATGCTCTTTTTTTCCATCTGCAGAAAGCTTTGTTTTTATTACTGTTCATCCTCAACAGATGTCTCCAGGCATAACACAGAACATCTAAAGGCCAGATTTTTCCCCTGGGGATTAAGATGCATCTTGAGCCAAAGGTCTGATCAGATTTCTCCCTGTGGAAGCTCTTACCTTAGAGAGGAGATTTCAGGGTAAGGAACCTCCCACCTGCCTCCAAGTCTGACTCTTCCCAGCGTTAGAAATGGTGAGTCAGGAGGACTGAAGAAACAGTTTGATGGAAAATTGGTAGGAACATCTCAGCAGGAAGGACCAGGGATCCCTGTGACAACGCTGGAAAAATGTAAACCACTTTTTTGACAAGCTCTTTTGTTCTCCTAACACCAAAGTTCCTATTTTTGTTACCAGAACTTCTTAAACCAATATATTCAGTAGTCTGGCTACAATAATCCCAAGATCTTTTCCCCATGCGTTAAAGTTCAGTTCTCCTCACTGGGTAAAATTGATGCTGCTGTTATCGGTTATAATATCTTTTTTTTTTTTACGTAGCACAAACTTTTCCTTGAACAATGACTTGACTCTCTGATTTACTTCATTCTATGATGTAACATTTAATTAAGACATCTGTTAAATGCCTATCATATTAATTTAATAGGGAGGGCTAATAGAACTTTATTGGCACAGTCCAGTTAATTAACATTATGGGCCTTTAATGGATGTCTTAAATCGACATCATTAGTGAAGATGCTATCCAAATTAAAGTAAGGACTAACTGTTTCACTGGACTGTGAAGGACACACAAAGTGTTGTATGTATATACAACTTGATTTATGACCAGTATGCACACTCTGAAAGTTGTTCTTCAAAGATATCCCCTTACCAATAATTATCTATGTTACAAAATTTCAGTAGCTTAAGTTGGTTTGCACCACTTAAATGCAAGAGAAATACAACAGCCTTGTCCTCACAGCAGAAAGGGGACATATTTCACAGATTTTTCTCACCTTTCTTGAGAAGCACTAACTGATGATTGTGCACACTCATGGAGTAGGACAACTATGTTTCCAGTGGAGTGATAAGATACAATAAACGTTAATGCCCCTGGATCCAACCCATTGGAGCACTGTTGAGACAGAATATTGAAAGGGATATTGGCATATCAAGGAAAAGTATTATTCGGGTAGAGCTACCAGATCAGGGCTGCAAAATTCCAAATAACCACTAGATGGCAGCAAAGATCTAGAGTTTTCTATATCTCGCGTTGCTGCCATCTAGTGGTCTTCTGAATGTTTGCGGCTCAGATCTGGCAACCCTGAATAAGGAGGCACATCCTCCCATAGTTCTGTGGAAAACAATCATGTATAAAACATTTGCAATGAGGGCATTATACAAATCACAATTAAAAGAGAAGAGCAGGTTAAAAACTGGTCAGTAGCAGAACAGCAAGTTGTGATCAGGTTGAAACAAATTCAAAGAACAAAAGTAAAAAGTAAAAAGCTCGAAATAAAAACCTGTAGAAGATATAAATACGTGGTCTAAACCAGAACTCCTTAAAGATGGGCTTCCAAAGTTTAAACTCCCATCAACATAGCTTTAAAATATAAACTAAAACTACTAAGTATGTACAGCAAATCTAGACTACTTCTGTTCCAAGAAATCTATAGCTTAAAAACCATCCATCCATCCATCCATCCATCCATCCATCCATCCATCCATCCATCCATCCATCCATCCATCCATCTATCTATCTATCTATCTATCTATCTATCTATCTATCTATCTATCTATCTATCTATCTATTTATCTGATTTATACAGCCACCCGTCTCACAAGAAGTGACTCTGGGCAGTGTACAACAATCAGATAAAAACAATTATAGAAATACAATCATTATAAAATATAAAACAATCATTATTAAAAAGTAAAATATATTAAAAAGTAAAATATACAAACCACAGACATGGCGAGAGTGAATATATCAATAGCGGAACCATCTTAAGATGTGATTGGTTCCCTGGGACCCCCCCCAAGCCTGTTGACATAACCAGGTCTTGAGGGACTTCCAGAACATTAACACGGTTGGAGCTAACCTGTTGGCAGGGGGGAGAATGTTCCATAGGGCGGGCACCATGGCAGAGAAGACCCACCTCCTGGGACTCACCAAATGTAAGTCCCTAGCAGATGGTCTTGCAGCATGTCTTCCCTGCCAGATCTAATGGGACAGGCTGATGTGATCAGGGAGAAGTGGTCCCTCAGATAACCCGGTCCCGTGCCATGGAGGGCTTTAAAGGTCAAAACCAGCACCTTGAATTGGACCCGGAAGCAAACTGGCAGCCAATGCAGCTCATGGAGCAGAGGTATAATATGTGATCTTCTGGGAGCACACATAACTGCCTGAGCACTGCATTCTGTCCCAGCTGAAGCTTCCAGATACTCTTCAAGGTCAGCCCATTGTAGAGTGCAAAAAATGACAGAAGCAGTATATTGATTCAAGAAAGAAAGAAAGCATGGCTAGAAACAGACGTGTAAAAGACTGGAAAAAGAATTAAATAGAATGGATTTCTTGGAGAAATTCAGGGTCCACTTTCCTTCCAAATTATCACGGTCTGAATTAAACCTTTGCTTTGGGAATTGAACTCATCAGCAGTACAATGAAATGGCTTGAGCAGAAAGGCATTCTGTAGAAGCCACCATGATGTCGTGATCCTCATGTGGTCATTGTGCAAAGGATGCAAATTATAGCGTCATTTAACCTACCCTCAGATGTCCAGGTTTGTACATATTAACAAGGAAGCACTAGAGGCATATTGTCTCTTTGGGGTTTAAACCAGTGTTTCTCAACCTTGGCAACTTTAAGATGGGTGCTGGCTGGGGAATTCTGGGAGTTGTCAAGGCTGAGAAACACTGGTTTAAACAAACTCCTTTAGAGCCTCTGACAAACACTGAGTGTTCCCACATCAAGCTTAGCCATTACCAAAGAGATTACATTACAGAATCAACGGGGC